CCTGGATGTGTTTAAGAATAGGGTGGATGAACTGCTTAGGGACATGGTTTAATGGGGGATTAGGGACAGTTGGACTGGATGATCTCTAAGGTCTTTTACAACCTAGAAATTCTATGATTCTATGAAAGATAAGAGGAAGAAATACCTCTGCCTGTTGGAGCAAGTCCAGAGGAGGGCCACGAAGATGATCATGATGAGGCTGGAGCACCTCTCCTATGTAGAGTTGGGGGTTGTTCAGCCTAAAGAAGAGAAGGCTCCAGGGACACCTTCTAGCAGACTTCCAGTACCTAAAGGGGGCCTACAAGAAAGCTGAAGAGGGATTGTTTGCAAGGGTGTGTAGTGATAGGACAAGGGGAAATGGCTTTAAACTGAAAGAGGGGAGATGTAGATTAGATATAAGGAAGAAATTTTTCACTCTGAGGGTGGTGAAACACTGGAACAGATTGCCCAGTGAAGCTATGGATGTGCTGTCTGTGGATGTGTTCACGGCCAGGTTGGATGAGGCTTTGAGCAGCCTGGTCTAGTGGAAGATGTCCCTGCCCATGGCAGGGGGGTTGGAACCTAGGTGATCTTTAAGGTCCTTTCTAACCCTAACCATTCTATGATTCTGTAACACAGTTGAAACACTTCCAAGGGTAGACTGCAAAAAAAAAAAAAAAAGCACAAGCGTAAAGGCAAGCAATTTAGAAGCTAATCCAATCAGGATGAAGTATATGTCACCTGGGTCCAGCAAATGTGATGCCAATAAGTTGACTTGATTTGAACCTGTGACTATTTTTTACTATTTTACTTCAGGCTTAAAATTGTGGATTTAGCGTGAGACAAGAATAAATTTCTAACTGTAGATATGTTCCCTAAAATGATGAAAATAATCCGCAAGTATTAATTTATCAAGAGAGTTCGTGAAGAGATTGTAATCTTTCTTCTGTTGAAGTCAGTGGAAAAACTTCAATTAACTTCAAAAGGAAGGGACCCTGAAATCCTGTTGGAAGATTATAATTGGAAGATTAGCTGTATTCATCAGTCAAATTCATCCCTCCTAGCTTAGCATTTTGATTATTAAAATCCAGCTCTGCTCTGTATCAGAAGATTTCTTCACACCATGCAGTATTACCTCCATTCCTGGATTACCCATGGAAATGGCTTACTTTTGCTGAGTCTGAAAACCTAGTGTAAAAGTTACCTTTGATTGTCACAGAGGGAAGAGTGTTAGCTGGAAAATGCCTCTGCTGCTTCTTGTTGTGGCTAGTGCCTAGATTAAGCTTGCCGAGATTCCTGGTCAATATAGATGTGCGGAATTTTATTCAGAGAAGGATGCAAATTAGACGACTCTAATATCGTGTCCTCCTCCAAAACTACTTTTCGTGCTTGTTTTCCGAAAGTTCGTCTTTATCCTGGAGGTATTCCCCATTTATTTTCAATCTGAACAGCTCCTAACGGTTATTTATCATCTGCTACATAAAAGATACCAGAAACCCAGCCATATTTAGGCATGCGTAATTGATGTTTTATTAAATTTTTTTTCTGTTAGAAAAATGAAGTGGGATTGGGTTCATTCTCTTACCTTGAAACAGATTTCTTGGACCTCAAGGTACTGTCCTAGCTCTTTTTCTGAATGCTTTTCAGTTTGACTGTGCATCAGCGCAAAGTTTACCATATTTAAAAGTTAGCTCACTGAGACTGTACTACAACCATCTGTAACCATAACTGACAGAGTTCCATCACATAGCCTGCATTTTTGACTGTCACTTCTGTGAGGTCAGTTGTCTTATATGTCTTTTTCCAAGAGACTGGAATTTAGTGCAAGTTTGGCTATTAGGTATGTTTTAAGTTTCCAAATTTTTCACGAAAGATGCTGTTATCAATGAGTACTTAAGAGTTGGTTACATATATTATAGATGGCTTAATAACAAAGTATCTACTGAAAAGGGAAGCCTTCTCATTTGTCCAATTTAAAAAAAGAAAAATCCACAGTCTTGTTCATGTGTTTCCTTCCCCGTTGGCAAAGGGTTAATAGCCAGCATGTTAAAATTAATGAATTTTGCAAAACACTGTTCCCCTTGCTTTGTTCAAGGTTTAGTGAAGAAAAGGGAAAATACACACGGCATCCAGGCGGTTGATGCCACCTAGTGTTGAAAGAATTAGTACACCGCACTTCTATAGCAGTTGGCCAGTTCTTTCCCTGAAACACTGAGGTTGAAGGAAAGAGGCATGATTTGCTTGGTAATCTTGTCGATCTGCTCGAGGGTAGGGAGGCACTTCAGAGGGATTTGAACAGACTGGATCGTTGGGCTGAGGCCAATGGCATGAGCTGTAATAAGGCCAAGTGCAGAGTCCTTCACTTGGGGTATAAAAACCCCAAGCATCACTATAGGCTTAGGGAAGAGTGGCTGGAGAGCTGCCTGGCGGAGAAGGACCTGGGGGTGTTGGTTGACTACCGGCTTGATATGAGCCAGCAGTGTGCCCAGGTGGCCAAAAAGGCCAATGGGATAC